AGTATATAATTATTACTAAATTGGCTATTCATTAATTAATTGTGTACATACTTAGGAATCAGCTGTGGGGCCATTTTGTCACTTGCACGTCCATCTTATTTATTATTATATAAATACTTGAGTGTTGTACAACGTGCAAACCACAAAATGTCTTTACAGGTGACTCCTATATATGGACACTTTTAAGTGCATTTAATTGAATCAGCAATATAATGGTATTATATATACATAACTGTGTCCAACATAACCTGTTGGATTAGAAATAAATTTAACTAAGCCAACGAGCTCAAATATAGAAATAGGCCAACGCTTTAATAAAATTATTTCAATATGGTCTATCTAGGACCTAAACTCTGAGAGACTTAGTAAACAATGATTGCCAATATGAAGAGATATTTTTCTCACTCCCTTCCTCTACACTTATCCTGATACAAATGGTATTCCTAACCGAATAGGTTGATCAGAGTTTTCTAAGCAACTATAAATATTTCTATGTGTAATTCAAAATGGTGCGAAATGAGAGGACACATTAATACTAACTGTCTATGAGATCCGTGTCCTTGACAAGTGTACCGCTATTTATAAAATGCTATCTACTTTTAAATCAGTGATTACAATATAAGATATTGAAATTCCTGGTTCTTGAACCTCATAGGATTTTTTAGACTGGTTGGGTTCTAGCTACTCAGAGTTCAGAGATCCAAAGAAGTAGAACGTTATCGATTTCTAAGAACTACGATGGCCAGTAACAGGTACGACCTACAAGAAAATGTATAACATCCATTTTTTTTAAAATTCCCAAGGAATGTGATAGGGTAAAATTATACTTTCTCATAATACTTTCTATATTGTTATCTGGTCTCTAGGATCTGCCTATTTATTTTACATTTAGAAACTTATAATATTTGATATCAAGACCCTCTAGCATGAGGAGAGTACGAATACATTGCGTCTGACATCTCAAGAGGAGTCCCCCAGGAGTGTACCCTATTAGTCACCATTCATAGTCAGTATCCATTTTACATTTTTGTCATCGGAGTAGGGCACCAATGTCACTGGTTTTATAGGAGTTTAGGTTTCTTACTGATAATGAGAAAAAAATACCTCCTCTCCTTGAATTTTAATGTTCCGAAAAATGAGACGTCATAAATTTTATTAATATTATTATTATTACATTCGGCTATATACGTTTATAACTTATAATGTAATTTTTTTTCATATAATAAATCGCTATTTCCGATTGGCATAAATTTTTCTTTATATAAGAAAAACCTTATACATCAATTACTAATATATTCAGGATATACACTGATATATTTATAGATCCTCTATAAAAATATTATAATAATACTCCAACTTCCTTTTTTTTACTCAATAATTACTATGTTTTTTTATTAAATCGATTTCCGAAATTCTGAGTTCACGTGATGGTGATGTTTTGGCTAAAATTAGAAAAAAAATGGTAAATTTTTCGTTTTTCATTTATTACATTAAATATAAAAAATAGAGATGTATTTTTTTTTAAAATTTATATTACTCTGTAATAATATTATTTATTTTTTTTCAGAGGCTTCCCTGAACCGGGATGATATGGGCCAATCTTCGATTTCAATTTTTCCGTGGCTTATCTATGGGCTGGTTAAAAATTTTGAATGCTTTTTTTATGAATTTATCTTTTCATTCCATAATTTAGGCGGTGTCAAAAACATCAAAAAAAAATTAAATTCACAAACTTTAGAAACTTTATGAAAATAAACAAATATGTTATTTTAAATATATAAAAAATGAAACCATCTCCAAACTTAATTCTAGAAAATTCTATAAATTTCATTGATTTTTTTTAGAATGGTTTTGGGCAGAGCCTTATATTAAATAAAAAATATTCAAAGACTGCCGACAGAACGTGTTTCAGTGATTACAAAGTTTAGGTCCCCACGATCTTCAAAGTGCTAAATATTGACATATATGGAAACCATTCATGTGGAATTACTCAGCTGTTGCCAGTTCTATTTTAAATTGAAATATATTGATCTTTTTATTTAAAACAAGAGAACCTCAAAAAAAGTCCAATAAATTATTCAAGAATTTCCCTTCATATTTTCATTTAACCTTGTATCTAATTTTTATGGGGTATTATGAGCCCCACATAGGGTTTGAGACCTATTGGGGTAACTTAAAATATTTGATTAATTACTCAAAATTAGACTCTTTACATTTAAAAACTAATAAATTCGGATTGAAATATTACAAGCAATACGAAGAAACTTTCCATAACGCATTTCCTGTTCCTAGCTAAAGGCTATCCTAAATTCATATACGTACACATAAGTATAATGTAATTTATCTGTAACTCCTTCTTTATAATAGGTATTATAGGTATACTTGTATATATTTATTGCATTTGTCTATTAATCAAAAGTGTCATGGGAAGCGGGGCATAGATGAGCTCAAGCCCCTATAAATTTCCATTTGCTTTTCTTTCGCAAATTGTAGATAAAATTACTCCTATTTTTGGCTAATTTTAGATAAAGTTTTGTCGAAAACTAGGAACTTTTTAAAAATTTGTTTAAAATAATATTATACCCAAGGTTTCGAACCGAATCGCCAAACCGGAACGGACCATAATTTTCTGAATAGTAATAACCGTTATGATGGAAATAAAAAAAAAAGCCAACCGAATTGTTATAAATAAAACCGTTATGAACAGGTTTAACCCGGTTCATAACGGTTTTTTAAAAATAACGAATTTTAAATTAATAACGTAAATTTGAAATTTTTGTCCTTGGAGGCAATTTAAATCCGTAATGTCTTCTCGAATTGAAATTTATTATACACAATTAAATCGCCATTATCTTCATATCAACAACACCAAGTTTATTGTTTTTACTTTTATATACTCAATTTTATAGAGATTAGGCAAATTACTAGTTAATTAGATAAGAAATAATCTTCATGGTTAAATTAAATAAGGAATTATATAAAATATAAATTAAAAAGATTTTTCTCTAAGATTAATATATCTGTGGTTTATAAAGAAAAATTTTAAAAATCGAATTTTATAAAAACTGGAACGAACCGAAAAGAACCGTTATAAATTCTAAACGGAACCGAACCGAAGAGAACCGATAACCAAATCGCTATTCTAACGGTTCGAAGCCCTGATATTACCTAAGGCCTCAAGATTTGGACAAAAAAACCTTTCTTCCATCTATATGCGAAATCTCGAAGTTTCGATAAAAAGAATTTTGGAGAAAATCTTGATTTTTACGGCTTATTCAACACAACTAATTTAAGGTTTTGGGTAGGGTAACACTAGAAATAATTCCTTTTTCTTGACTCATTTTAGATGGGAGTTTTTTTTTTGTACTAATTTTGAAGAAATTTTTTCTTTCTTTCTTTCTTTCTTTCTTTCTTTCTTTCTTTCTTTCTTTCTTTCTTTCTTTCTTTCTTTCTTTCTTTCTTTCTTTCTTTCTTTCTTTCTTTCTTTCTTTCTTTCTTTCTTTCTTTCTTTCTTTCTTTCTTTCTTTCTTTCTTTCTTTCTTTCTTTCTTTCTTTCTTTCTTTCTTTCTTTCTTACTTTCTTTCTTTCTTTCTGGTGAAAGGCTAGCGAACACTACTACTATTTTCTAATATTAATATAATCATCAAATAAATTTTATATATTATTTTCAGTTTGATAATGAATCCTATTTGGGGGTTATAACTATATTTTTTAGTTGTTTTAGTCGTTTTTAGTTACCCAACTGCAGTTTTTTCTTTTTATAAAAAATATAATTCAACTTTGAATGAAACATGATTAAATTAATTCACACCTCATACCTAGAGAAATTTCTTCATCAAGCGCTTCCCCAATTGCTCTACTATGGTTACTAGGAAATCAGTATATTTATAACTATCACGATCATGATTTCTTGTCGAGCTTACATACCCACGTCACTCAAACTCATAGAGGATTAAATTGATTAGGAGAGTATACAACTTCCAAATAATTCATTCTTCCTTTCAGCTGTAGAGTCGGACTTCGTGTTCATTCAGAAAGAAAATTTAAACTTATATAATCCAAACTGAAAAGTACGAGATCTATACAATTTCTAAGGATCAACTTAAAAAAAAAAATTTTAAATGTTTTTAATTTTTGAATTATGCAAATATTTTATGGACATATAACCGAAAAATATATTTAAAAAAAGACGAATATATTATACCATATAGATAGAGATACGATACAGACAAAATGACACCCAATTACTCACAGAGATAGGCCAAAATAAAATAAGATGGCAGCCAGAATGTGACCATCACGACACCACAATATTTATTGTTTACATTACAAAAAAATTTTTTTATATTTGAATTCTTAGATGTCAAATTATTTGATCGGTGGAAAGATTTTTTTTTTGTCACAGTTCTTTTCCTTATTTAAATATTCTTTTGATGTTTTGCGTCGATTTCTTGTTAATAAGAATAAAATTAAAAAGGTGTCATTTTATAAACAAATCAATCATTTATCACTTAACCCCCCCCCCCCCAGTTTTCACCTTTTATACGATTGATTAATTTCCTTTCTTTCTTTCTTTTCTTTTCTTTTCTTTTCTTTTCATTTCTCTTCTGTTCTCTTCTCTTCTTTCCAAATTTTTATATTATATATATCAATTGCCAAAAAAAAAACCAAACTCTTCCTTAACTATAAATGCTTATACAATATTAAATTAATTTTTAATTGCGCAAATAAATTATATTAAAAATTTCGTTATATAAAATATATTATAATAAAGTGATGAGTTAGAATTAAATTATGATGATGACAGTTTTATTTGATATGTGATATAATTATTCTACTTATTAAAAAAAATAAAAAAGGCAAGAAATACACAAAAAATAAAAACACATTAAACAAATTCATAGTATTAAGAAGGTGAAAAATAAAATTTATGCTAATTACAAAATATTAATATATTTGTAGATATAGTATTAATATAATAAAAAAAAAATTCTGTCCATCTAACACCTTTTATGCCCTGCGTGTAATTTTATAATACAATTCGTGTATGTTCATTATATTATATTATATATATTATCTTTTTAAAAATTCCATCTGAACCAGTCTATTAAATTTGTTGCAACGGTCGGGGTTTTTTAGGCCTGGCTCTTGTGTATTCCTAATAAGTTTTCGATTATTATTAACCGAACTCGTATCGCCAAATTCTTTAACCGATGAAACCGAAAATAAAACGGAATTCGAAAACCGTGTAGAAATTGGAACCGAAAGGTCTGACAAAAACTAATCTTTATTTTTAAGACAAAAAGATATGGATATAATACAAAAAGTAATTGAAAGTAGGATTAAAGACATTTTGATTTATATATATATAAGCAATTTATTCATTTTATTTTAATTTATTTTTCTATTTTTTAGTTTCATTTTATTCTTTTTTCTTTATGACCGCAAATTAATTAAAAACGTCTCTTTTAATTTTAATTCCTTTTTTCTGTAAATTTTTGAATAACTCGTTAAATATGATTTATATTTTATATTTTATTTTTTTCCAACTCAGGAATATATAAATAATATAATTTTACTTTATTATTAATAAATCTTTATATTAAAACTATTAATTTTTTTTTTAAACAATAAATAATATGTGAAACTGAATGTATATTTAGACTCAGTGGCGTATCGCTAGCTCTTGTCATTTTTAGGTGCCTTGTTAAAGTATCTATAAAAAATATTTATATAGGGGTGCGCTCGTAATAAACCTTTACCCGCTTCCTTGAGATCCGCCAGGAATGAAATATCATTTCTAAGGGAAAACCCCGAAGCTTGAGGTGATAGTTTTCGACTAAATACCATTTAACAGTTATTTTGAAATTTGCTAACACGGCTAAGGATGCAAAGATTGCCCCAAGTGAGTACTCGAAATATAAAACTTCCAAACCGCGCAACAATTATATACAGAGACCAACCGTCAATTTCCTTTCAATTCTAATGTTTGGCCCTCTTATAATTTGAGGCTATTTATTTCTAAACTTTCACTACTGGGCAGTGTCTTCGAGACTGGTCCGGTTTACCATTGCGGGAGGGATCACATTTAATATTAAGTATAGGGGAGACTGGGGTTAGGTAAACCCCGGGGCTTGGCAAACCGAATCTCATTTTAAAATTAAATACACCCGAAGGTTAAAATTTTAGCCTAATATAGTTTTCATTAGTATACATCTATGGACAAAATATAAAAATTAATAATTACTCAAAATTTTATTTCAAAAGATTTTTACATGACAGAATTTTAATTTTTATTAAAATATATGGTCATTAATATGTTAATTAAATTTTATTACAAAGTTTAAACATTCTTCTATAATTTGGGTAAGTTTTATGAGTATTTATCAAATCTATATATTATTTCAATCATGATTTGTCAATTTAGAGCTAGCGGGGTTTGCTAAACCATACACGTCAATTATAGCAATTAATAATGAAAAAAATTTCAAAATCTTGAAAAGGCAATTTCATGGCTGTTTATGATTGGTATTTAGGATTTATGCTAAGAAATCTTAATCTCTCCTTTAAATTCATATTTTTTATGTCCTAAATGTTTATTAAATTAGCCAAAGTTAAGTTTCAATTTTTATATATAATTAGCTTCAATTTATAAGTATTATGATATTTTGAACAATAAAACAATAAAATTATTCTATACATATCATTATTAATAAATAAAAATGCATTTCAATTTATTATGGCTTAAAAAAACTAATGGTTTAGGAAGCCACTTGAAGTGGTTTGCCTCACCCCGCTATTGGAGCTTGTTGAACAAAATTTTCACTTTTACAAAAAATAAAATTTAAAAAAAATAAGTATATTCTTAAGATTTTTTATAAGGCACCTTTATAGAGTATAGTTTTAGGTATCCAATCATATATTATTTTTTATATTATCTATAAAACAACAAGAGCTATAGCCAATTTTTAAAAAATTGGTTCGAATAACCCCAGTCTCCCCTACTTTAAAAATAAACAAAGGTTTTCAAAAAAATGGAGCTACAGTGTAACCTCGATAAGGACTGACAGTGGCTCTCTTAAGTTTAAAGAGTGTTTGAGCTACTAGACTCTCATAACGACCCTACTGACTTAACCCAGTTAGGGGTTTTAAATGGCCATCGAATTTAATGCTGTCCCAGGGCACTGAAAAGTCTTAGCACACTTATGGTTTTGCTCAACATAGAAAAATTAGAAAGAGGCAAATGTATAGAATACAGAGGTGTAACAGACATGTCCCACAACCCCCACATCACCGTGAGGCCCAAACCAGAATATTATAGGTCAAGTTAATATTTTCGCCTTACGCTTGAGAGACAGAATAGGGTAAATTAGCCCTAAAAAGGTCAATAATAATGAGATGGCCACATTTGGAGGTTACCCCTACTACATATTTTTTTAATATTTTTTTTTGGAAAAATTTTAGCATTGTATTATATTATCGATTTTTCTTGTGGAAAAACTTATTAACTAACTTTTATATTTTTTTTTAAAAAACAAAAAATTGTGCCTTTTTGCATTATATTTATAAATAGTCCTGCCTTACAATCTATATATTTTTTTTTGTTTAAACTATCATGGCTTAAAATATTATATTTATTTATGTTTTTTTTTGTGGACTTGCATGTTTGTTTTGTGTTTTTTTTTGTTTTTTTTTATTTTTTAAAAACACACATTTTAAAAAATGTTTTTGTTTTGAAAAAAGAATAGAAATTTGTCCTTGCCTAAATTGGGGTTTTTTTCTGATTTAGTCCGTGATAAAATTTTGTTCCTTTTTGTTCATGTTTTGCTTTGATATAGAACTGCGTTACGCAGATATTTGCCCCATTCCGAAGGGTGTTGTCAAACGGTTCGATTTGAGTCTATTTTTAAAAACGGCTAACTCAATATGTTAGCCAGAAAAATATTGCCTAAACTTCGAGATTTCGCTAATTGATGTCTAGACTTTTGTGCCATTTATGAGCTAAATCTTCAGGCTTGCGTAATATTATTCTGGATAAAATATTGAATTATCCGTTTTTAAAAATCGGCTCAAATCGAGCCCTTTAACAACACTATTCCGAAGCCACTGGTTAAATCGGTATAAGTATAATAAGTATTAAATTTGAAATTAAGAAAATATTCTATATAAGTGTTAACAAAAATTTTAATTTTAGAAAATAAGATACAATTATTTACATATTAATTTAAAGCAGTATATAAATATCGCCCGTAAAGTATGCATGATTCGAAATTTCTCAATTTTTCTAAAGAAATTTAAGTAGCGCAATTTCTATTATTCTATAAGAATATGATTTAAATCTGAAAAATTATTCCTTCACGTATGAAATACCCACACTATAAATTTCGGACAAATTTTGTTGTAAATTTTTGAATTACTCACATCTTATTTTATATAGATCTTAGGTATATAAAATCGATTACACGAAATTTGATGGAAAAAAATTAACGCAAAATTTATAGGATAGTTAATCTGCATAATGCTGGAATACATCTCCGGTTAAAATCAGATTTTCCGAATTTAAAAATAGCCTTCCATGAATGATATAAAATTTTATTCCAAATTTCCATGGATTCTATATGCCAATACGTCGTACATATTTAACCTTTTTTATTCGCAATCTAATTAGCGCATTACCCTGCATTCACAGTTAGCACACATTCGCGGCGGATATTATAAAAATACAGCGTTTTTTTATATAATTCGACGAGAAATCGCGCTAACTATTAATCAGGGGTTAAGAGGACACTAGGTATTTTTGTTTGCGATTTTTAAAAAAATATCAACATTTTTATTTGATTCTCTGAGATCCTGGTGATTAGATTATCAGATATCCTTAGTTCCGATCATGATGATAGTTTGAGGTTGTGGTTCAGGGGCAATAAAAGTAAAAGCAGCTGCGTTCTTGCTACTCTAGTGTTCGGTGTCCTTTAGTTTTTATCCTTGCACTAATTTCATTAAATGTGTTAGTTTCCGCAAAATAAGATTAAACATCATAATGTTACCAAATTGACCTTAATCACCCCATAAGTATCCACTTTTAATAAGTGCAGTTTTTTTTTCTAAATATAATTTTTTTTTAAAAAAAAAACCTGAAATTAACGAAAATTCGTGAAATTTTTAGCACCTGATAAATTATTCATGGAATAAAAAAAATAAAAAAATTTAAATATATCAATAATTTAGTGTATTTTATAAAAAATTAATTTTATTTTTCGTTTTTGCATAAATTATTTTAAAAGAAAAATTTCAAAAATTGACCAAAAAAATATATATATATCTGTCAAAATTTTTTTTTTTTAAATATATAATTTTTTATTAGAATTTCGCTAATATTTTTTTTTTGCTATCTTCTTTTTATTTCCCATTCTACCTTCAATTAAAAAGCCATGTGTTTTAGGTTTGATAATTATTTTGTATTTTTTTTGTTTCCATGAAATTTATAACCAGATATTAAATAATTATCATAAAAATACTTTAATCTCCAAAACTAAAATTTTTGTCATCTAAAAATCAGATTATTTTTAAAATAAGCTTTTATTATTTTTACAAAAAAAAATATCAAAACAAACATAAGAAAAATTTTAAGACTTTTTTTTAGTATATTATAATATCTAGATATAGAATAACTATCTCGAATGGGGGGTGGGGGGAAACAATTTAGTCATTCAAATTCTGGTGCTGACGGGGGGGGGGTCATTATTTGACGAAAGGGTTTTCTTTCTTACTTACTTTCTTTCTTTCTTTCTTTCTTTCTTTCTTTCTTTCTTTCTTTCTTTCTTTCTTTCTTTCTTTCTTTCTTTCTTTCTTTCTTGGGCCTAGGAGACTCAATAGAATTGTATCAAGGAAGTGGCAATAAAGAGAATAACATTTTGGTGCTGCTAGCTTTTAGCATTAAGTTATTCTTTAAAAATACAGCATGTCGTTGATGACGGTGTGGGGGGACGGTGGAGGTAGCGATATATAAATTTGGTATAAACTATATCATTGGCAAATTCAAATATTTAAATTCGAGTAATTTAGGCAAGGCCTATAAATAATAAGCAAAGAGGGTTCCCATACGTATTTTTTATGGGGATACAAAAATATATTACCATAAAAAAATATATTTTTTTGTTTTATAACTGCAAAAACATTTACTGCTCCATGTTAATGATATCACAAAGGTTATAACTATTTAATTTGCAGTTTTATTTATTTTTGTTTTTATCATATAAATCAAATATTCAATTCTTCCATAGAAATT